CTGCCGCGCACGAGGCTCGCTGCTCCCGCGCCACTTCAGGCAGCCCGAGCAGATTGCTCCCCAATAAAAGCGGTGCTGCTCCACACAAGTAACCCGCCAGCTACCATTTACACCTCTTTTTTAAATATTAAAGTAACAAAAACCTAACCCGACTTGTGCTCTCTCCCCCTGCACCTGCACTGCTGGTGAAACACTTGTCTCGAATCGCGCTTTAAAACGACTCCCATTTAAGTTTCTGACAGGTGGAGTTTAAGTTTAAGGAATGAATGGTTTATATCTTGCCTCCTTGAAAATATACCACAGAACTAGGTCAGCGCGGGGAGCTGCTCTGCGAGCTTACTACGAGAACAACACCGGCGCTGAGCCACCAAAGGCTCCTGGCCCCCATCAGAAACACTGCCCGTGCCCTGCGCGGGGACAAAGGGTGGCCCAAGGCCCCGGCAGAGAGGGAGACGCTGCCTGGCAGCACCGATGGCTGCGCTCACACGCCGGGCACAGAAGCTGCTTCTCCAGAGCTTGTGCCCGGCGCTACAACCCAAGGGCAAATGCTGCTGCAGGTCCATCTCAACAACACACCCACCGACAGCCCACAAAAACCAGTCACCAGTGTGAAACACGGTAAAAATTGCATTAAGTAACAAAAGAAAGAGCCAAATTACCTTTGGAGGCAAGGAGCACTGGTCTGCGTGGCTCTGTAAAGCTGTGGCTTCACAGTTTCAGCACACTGAAACCAGTGGTTTACACGGAAAAGATATCATCACGCACTGGCACAGGAAGCCAGAAAAGAGAATCGAGCCCAAGTGAGCTCCCACGGTGACATTTTCATCCGCTAAAGAACCGAAACTTCACAATTTGAGCTAGGAAGTCCAGATAAACACTGATTCTCTTCTCACTTACCCCCTGTTAACCAGCCGGCATTTTACTACTTCGGTGGAGTTAATCATTTACTTCAACACAAATGAGAAAAGAATGAACCTGGCATTTTCCAGACCACAGGAAAGATGGAACTAATGAATTTGGAAGCATCAGAGAGGTTGATAAAAGATGAAGCTGACAACACTCGTAATCATCTCTACTACTTAAAATTTACATTTTGGTAGAGC